ATATATATATATATATATATATATATATATATATATATATATTTGCTAGGTAGGAACTCATATTATCAAACTAGCTTAACATTTTTACTATCCTTCCATCCATTAAATTTTGTTCGAATATACATTAAGCCCGCCATCTTGAAGTCCAATTTGCTTAAAACACATCAACATATATTGAAAAGAGCTAATTAAATGAACTAACGAGCAAAATGGTCAAAAGGCATTCACCTCCAAATGCATTATCGCAAGCACACGTGCAAAATTCAAAAAATCACTCCGAGGCTCAGCGGATACGCCCAATTTTTCCCTTTATGCACTTCTATTTTGTTTATTAAAAAAAATGATCGAGAGGTAAACCATAAATTTGCAATTTTGACCTAATTCGTTCGTTGAGCTGTTTGTTTCCCGCCTGTGCAGGTCCTCTCTCTCACTCATCTCTCTCTCTCTCTCTCTCTCTCTCTCACTGTCAATTTTGAACTCCACATTGCATTCATGTTTCAATTTAACAGTTATGATGACTAACTTCGGCTTCTCTATCATTCAAATCCACAGATTGGTGAAGGTGTGTCTCTGGATTTGGACTTAACAGGTTCGTTTTACATCAATTCGCAAATTTTAAACTCCTAATTACAATCACACTTCGATTTAACAATTATGATGACGAATTTCTCCTTCAGTCCACAGATTAGTGAAACTGTAATTTCAATTTCACAGGTTCGTTTACATCAAATCGCAAATTCTGAACTCTATATTACAATCACGTTTCAGTTTAACAATTATGTTGACGAGTTTCTCCTTCTCTATTATTCAGTCCACAGATTAGTGAAGCTGTATCTGAATTCCAACTTCTCAGGTTGGTTTCCATCTATTCAAACATCAATTCTACTCTTATTAAATGTAGTAATTGTGTGTTAAGTTATGTTCAATAAATAGCAAATATGACATATACTCCTGTTTATTTGCTCAATACTTGGTTAGGGTTGTGACTACATAAATTAAAGTAGGATGCCATGATTAAAGTATGATGCTATTTCCTGCTTAGGATTTAGAAAGCAGAAAATAGCATCCTACTTTTATGGAACATGTAAATTAACACAGTATTCAAAAAGCTGAAAGTAAGGAAGAAGGAACATACACTAAAAAATGATGCAATAAAACACAAATAAATGAAAGTATGTGGTCAATTAGATGATTATCCAAAGTAATATACTCTAAAAAATCTAACTGGTTATAGAATCATAATTTGATCTCACCCTTACTAATGATGTGTAATCAGGATGCCTCCAACAGACTGGGATGGAAGATTGGTAGATATTTTAGCTGTTGTCACTCCATTTGGTTTCTTGACTGCAAACTGGAAAAGAGATACGCTTATGGATGAACATGGAATTCTTATCGATAAATTTTATTTAGCAGTTAGCATCTTTAGAGACAAAATTATTACCAGGGGGGTAATATCAAAGTTGCTTGAAAGAGCCAAACCAGAGTTCTTTACATCCGAAGCACAGTGCACTCCCAAGCAGCTATACAGGTTTTCTCACTGGTTAAAAGGAGAAGAGGGCATGAAATTCATTTACAAGACCAGGAGAGCATGCATGTTTGCAGATGAATTGCCTTTAAGGGAGGATCGGGTACGTGTTGCTTATTGCAGAGCATTGGATTACCAGCTGGCAGAATACCAAAGATTGACAAGAGCAGCAATGATAGAATTTGGTCCGGACGTTGTTGCCAATCTGGAGGCAACAATGTTGCCAGCAGCAGCGTACGATAAAGAAAATAAAAGTGATTGGGAGGATGACTGCTGGATTATTTATGTGCAAAGCATTAAGGCCAATGGGGTGAATACTCCCACACGTACAACTGAAACCGTTAAACGGGCTTTGAAAAATCATAAGGATGAGGCCATCCGAGTACACCAAAATCAATTCCTGACAGAGCAATATCGGGATCTGTTGAGAGCATATCTCCGCCGAAAAATGAACGAATACCGTACCAACGGTAGAAGGGATCTCATTGAGATCTTTGCTTCTCTTCTAGAAGCAATGGGGGAAGAAATTGAAGTTGTTTACCTTTTACATATCAACAAGGTTTGGAAGAAAAACAAAAGAAAGTTTCAAGTTTAAAGGTACTTTCATCTTTTACTAAACGGTATTTTAATGAATATATAAAATCTTGTAGATGTAAAGAAAAAATATTAATTGATGAAAGATGAATCTGTAATGCAGTAAGATCACCACAAAAAGACTAAACTTTTTACTGAATCTGAAGTTATTTACAAAAAAAGCCAGGCTCCTCATGGAGAAAAACTCTATTAACTCTATTAATTTGTAAAATAAAGTCTTTTATGTTACATTTGAGAAAGGTGCAACCAGAAAAACAACTAAAATCAAATTTTCTGACCTGAAAGAAATGGTACAGTACACTAAGGAAACCAACATCACTTCCTTTTTTCATGCTTCTTCATTACTTTTAAAATGGCAGCCATTTAAGGTACTATTGCATCAGATATACTGAAAATCTTTCTCAAATGGCAGCCAACTTAGTAAAGGGCACATCTTCTCCTTTATGTTAAACAAATAATTATGTCAAATTATAGTTTTTTTTTTACTTAAGGACCTGTCTCTGGCAACCAACCCAAAGTTGGTTGCATTTCATTATTAGAAGCATAAAAGATTTAGAAAATATGTTCTTAATAAAAATAAAGATTTTTAGAAACAAAGATATTGAGAAAGATTACTAGTAGCTGCCTGAAATTCTGAGAGCATAATCCCACATTGAGATTTAACATGTAAAGCACTTTTTGTCTAATATACCAATGTATTTTCACTTACACATATAATCACACACACACACACACACACACAGCCACACATACAGTGCATGTGTTGCTGTTTATACTTTATATGTATGTAAATGGTTGTGTATGGCATGAAGGAATGAATAAAAGTTCCAGCATTTTAAGAATGAAAACAAAGAGAAATCGATCAACTAAAATGGACATTGAAGCCTACGGTTGGCATGACTTACCATCATCATGAATTCTTAATAACAATATGTGCATTGCATCTATTTCCAAAAAGTCTATTTTTATTCCATATTACTTCTATTTTTATAAGAACTTTGTTATCATCCTGATTAACATTTATATTTATTTTGCACAGGTGTTAGTAAAGCAAGAAGATACCAGCCCAAAAACAATCTGACAAAGTTCAACCTCCTGTCCAAAATCTATTAAATACTTCAAACACAGCTAAAGATATGTAAGACAACTTCATTTTTCAAATCTTTGTTAGAATTATATGAAAAATATGGAGCAAATCATGTTGGAGTAGATATGGTAAAATCATAGTTATTGACTTCATAATGTTCCAGTACCATTTAATAATTGCAAAAGGTGTATGTCATGGTGAATATGATCAGTCAAGGGATGAAGATTTAGGCATAACTCAATGATATGATTTGTGTTTATGCTTGTGAAAACTTAAATTGTGCCTTCTGGCAACCACCAAGCATCTATATCCAAAAAGGCATGTATTATAATAAAAATATGAATTAATTGAATGAAGGAGACAGGTCATAGATGAATAAAAACTAACTCTAGTCATTCAAACATAACAAATGGGTCATATATGGTGGATGTATCAAGAAAGTATGTAATAATAAAGCACATGATAATACCTGAAGCAATTCCTTTCAGCCTGTTTGTTTAGGTTGACCGTCAAGAAAGCTGCCAGAATAATAAAACATGAAAAGTCAAAAGTAAATCATCGTCTCTTTCAATTTCAAGAACAAAAGTAACAAATTAATACCCACTTGAAGAAACAGGTGATATTATTTATCAGTGACAAGTATATTTGTAGGTTTTTGGTTCTTCTGACTGCATTACATCATGTATCTGATTGATAAAAAGACATTTTTTTTCAAGAAATTGAATAAGAGTAAACCACATAAACAACTACTCACCAAGAATTACACAAATATAATTACCTTTGCATTTGATATATTTGAGAGCCTTTCTATGCGCAAGCTGGACAATGTCGTTCTATCTAAGAGCCTCACTGCTGACCTAATTCACAAAAGTAAAGTGACTACTAGGTTAAAAATAATCCGATACTACAATTGAATCCAAACCTCAATTCATGAACAACTTTGAATAAAGAAACCAAAAATTACAGCTTTTATTTCTTAGATAATCAGAAAGAAGAAGAAAAGAAGGGATCCAGTGGCGGAACCTTAAAGGGGATTGCAGAGAAAATCTACAAAAATACAAATTCAAATCTTCAAATCAAATCCAAAAAAGCCTGACCATTTATAAGAATTTTAAAATCCATACGAACCTCTATGAAAAAGCCCAATTTTTTCAGAAAACAAATCTTAAAAAATTTAAAATTAAAACTCAGAAACCCTAGCGTCCGTCGCATTGGTTGGCCGGAAAGTGTCAAAACCGGTCTCCCATGTTCTCGTCTTGACGTCTCATCGTTTATGCGGTGTCGCCGTTTAGAGTTCTCCATGTATGTTCTCTCTCTCTCTCTCTCTCTCCTTTGCGATATATGCTTGAAAATAGTTACAGTTTCTTTTCCTCCGTATGTCTTGAAACTATGATTTGGACATTTACTGTACTTCGGAAGTATAAAAAGCTTTTTAAAGTCTTTGACGCATGGGAATGCCTAGGAAAGTGGATTTTGGTACCTTATTTCTTTGTATCTCTATATGTGGAATTATAAAAGCGAAAACCTCATAAAAACCCCATGTGCTATATCCCAATATTTAAAAAAACCCCTATATAATCTTTTTATACGAATTAACCATTATGCTTTCTAACTTTGATTGTTTTCATGCTTTGTGACCAGTTAACCCAAACAGGTAACCTTGGAGTCACTGTTCATCCACCATCTAGATTGAAAGAAGAAGACTCAAGGAGAAGTAAGGACACTGTTCATCGTCCCCATCCACCTTTTGATGATTGTATGTAGTGACATAGAACTAGAGAAAATAGGGTCTTCACATGGTTTTGTTCAACTAATTTAGGGTCACCATCACGTTATGGTTTCATTTTGTAGGTTTTCAACATATCAAGCTTCATGGAAGCAACTAACCATGCTTGCCATCCATTTTCCTATAATGATAAAAAAAAATGAGTTACCTTTAGATTTGCTGTAAAAAAGAGGTAACCTGCAATGTTAGAGACATTTGAATCTAGCAATTCAAGCAGATCTCCAAGTATTTTTATTCTTGAATTTGCATCCTTACAGTTAGACATAAATTTAAAAATGAGAACCAATATTTGAAGTAGGAAGAACTACACATTGGTTCCTTTGTTTCTTTGCTTCTCAGGCTGATTATGTCTCTGTATAGCCTGCAAAATCATAAGAGTGTTTCAGTTAACCACATCCTTATAAATCTTTGCCATTAAACACCACTTTATCAAACCAGAAGAAGAAAAGAAAAGACAACGACCGGTGTCTTGTGTACTAATTTGTACACAACCTGTGTGGCTTGATTTGGAACCAACAAACAGTTGTTGCTCGCTTCCATGCATCCTCGCACCACCTCCGAACTAGAACCTGCTACCTTCGTCGGTTCCCGTCCAGCCGAACTCCCTCTCGGACAGCCTCACTTCTGAGACCTGCAACCAAGAAAAGGAAAAAAAAAACAAAAAAATAGTTGCATTCAGTTCCGTTCCACCCGAACCGGAGACCTACAGTCCAACCATCCCTCATTGAAGCCCTTTTCTTCCTAGCCAAAAACCGAAGTCACTATTCATCGTCATCTTTGTTTGGACCTGCAACTAACCAGAAAAGGAAAAAGGAAAAGAAAATCGAATCACCAAGAAGCCGACGACCCTTTTCATTTTTCGTTCCAACCACCATCTCCATCAAAATCGTTGTTGTTGCCTTCGTTTTTACCTCCAAACCGAGACCCACGAACCACAACAGTTCCAGCCTTTACCTTCTAAATCCACACCTCGTGAAAGCCATTAAAACCAAGAACCACAAGTCATCTCAACCCGAGATCCTCCTGCTGCCATCGAAAAACAAAAAGTAAAGAAGAAGAAAGTCTTCCCAGGAATTACAAAACTTTAGAAAGCATAATGGTGTTTTTGAAAAAACTATTTACCATATGGGTATACTTTTGAAAGTATTTACCAATAAGGGTGATTTTGCCATTTAGTAAAAAAAACCTATCTCGTGCCCTAAATTACTGAACGACGCAAGCAAGAGCCCAACGCAGGCAGGGGAAGAAGAAAACCATCGTCTCACCCAGCTACACCACCATTACCGGCCACAGCTCCGGCCGAACACTCCACATCCGACTACAATAGACGGCGGCGGTTCTATCTGTGACCACATCAGCGGGTGATTTGATCTCAGTTATGATTTTTTTTATCCATCTTATAACTTTGATTTCTACACATTCAACTTCGATTATGCTTTGTTTAGCTTCGATTTCTCCATCTAACAGATTCGATTTTATTAAGTTTCAATTTTGAACTT